ATAGATTGATAAACAGTGGCTCTATTGACAATGCAGTTGGGTGATTGAAGTACTCCTGTCCACATTTGCTAAACTAGGGGCTGATCACGAAAGGTTATCGCATCCAATTTAACAACAGCAACTATCAGGCAATGCTGGGACGTGTATGGGTTTCTGACTGTAAACACGTAGTGTATCTTCCACCGATGTTTGCAGTTATTTTTTTGTAAAGCTTGAGTGACATTTCGAGAGGGATTTGCAATTCATGTCTATTTTCTCAGAACACTCCTGAGCAAAACAGACTGGGGTTGTTCGCAACTGTGTGTTAGGTTACCTTTGACGAAAACAAGCAAGGCGCATGTAAATGCATAGAAAACATGAAGTGCCGTGGCAAACGTGCTCATCAGACTGTAGACCAGCTTTTAGCTTAAATTCGGATATCAATACGTGCCAGGGTCGCAGTAAACGCGACGATCGAATATCACGTGGTGTTGGTGATGATGATAAACGATGGGTCACACCGTGGTTACTCTACGCAGATCCTAATTGGATGTCTCGACTTCAGTCGACTGTTGTGTTTGTGTGAGCATTCAGATTCACAAAGCCACAACAATCGAGGACGCTGGTAAGGGTGAATTGCGATGGTGTCTGGTGCTGTGTCGGCAGATATTGGTGGACGTAAATTAACAAAACATTTTTTTCAAATCTGACTAGATTTAGGAGAATCTTGTGCGATTCACAAATGTTTTTTTCCGAACGCAAATCAGCACATACCCAACATGTTGTTTTTGTGCTTTGGCGTGTGTCACCATAGGTTGACGATGTTTTGTGTTCTATGTTATCTTACCTATAGCATTATTCATTCGGTGAAACATCAACCAATAGTTCGAGTTAAATTCGTGAGCTAGCTAACATTTTAGAGTAATTTTTTTGAAAAAAATGATTGGGTGAAGTGATAAAGACGACGACGATGACGACGAGGAACTGGACAAGTCATTCGACATTATTCACATGTTCACTTAACAATTGATGCTTGTCTTCAATTAAACTCAATCAATTTGTAAAAAAAGTGCTAAAATCGACCACACAGAGGCTAAACGTCATCAACTTCAGCGTTTACAGTACCCGTCTTCATTAGCCAATGAGCGGAGAGGGTGACCGTCAAATCAAATTGATTTTGTGGGGGAAATGAACACACAAGCTATCAGTCGACCACTCGTTAAACCAGTCATCACATGTACCAACTAGGCAGGAGTGCTTTGGCACACCGTGAATTGTCGTCAGATGCCTCTTGTGGGAACGGTGTGTGATGCCGTACTTTTATTAAGTGACAATCTAACAGCCACACCTCGAGAATCTTGACTTTAATCCAAGGAAGCCGTTGAAGGAGCACTGTGTGTGCTTGAAATTAACTTTGATTTTAAGCAAACAAATGAAAGTTTTCCGTCGAGGTCTTTAGAAGCCAAGTATCCAATCACCAGAGCATCTACGGTTCACCACGTACGCATTCTACTATCGATCACTACCTGCTTAAAGCCACATTCTATTTCATTTTGGCGCAAACGAAGTTCAGTAAGCCTGCTGGCTCTTTTTTTCCAGGAATTACTTCCTTTCACGCTGAGGAATCGGAGCTAAGTACTGAAGATTCAAGCCCCAGTACGACGTCAACGCATGATCACATGTTGTTCATCTTGCATCCTGACCTTAATCCACAGTTGCCGCCTATTTTTAACTCCCACCTATGTTCACTGGCACCGATTTTTTTTCTCTGTTCGGTGTCTTAGTTGATGTGGCACAAAACAAACGTTATCTCTACTAAGTACTCCTGCTTCAAGATATTTGAACAAACTGATTCTACTAGGCATTAAAAAACTCCCGAAATCGCCAAAGTGGTCCAAATACCCTAAGAACCTACTCACTAAGTCAAGCATCAAATCGTGACTAAATGTTTGCCAGCAGCTGCTAAGGCAAACCAGAAATTGGGCATATGTGCCAACTTGGCATCATTTATCCTTTCGCATTGCACCTAAGAAATGAAGGGACTCACGACTCTATGGTGATTATACAGCCCTGGATATTACTATAGGGTCCGACTTAAATTCTGTTTCATAAATCCACGCGCTCAAATCTTTTAAATGCCCAAAAGCTAAGGACTATGTCAGGCTTATCATCAGATGCCATTTGCCCCAAAAGACGCACATTTAAGTGCTTCATTTGGGCTCCCCAAGTTCCATCAAATTCTTTTCGGCATACGCAAAGCATCACAGGCTTCTATGTGGTCTTGACTTGGAGTTTGTCTACATTAATGAAATCCCTATCGTCAGCCAAGACACCAACGAACATTTGTTGCCCCAACGGCAAGTTTTTTCCCCGTCACAAGGCAAATAACATTGCAATAGACTACCAACAATGTGCCTTTGGAGCGGACAGTGGGACGTTTACGGAAGCCCAAGTTAAAATAAACATTTCAGAGCTTTGACTGAGAAGATAGCAGTAATCTAGTAGTCAAGGCCACACATAGAAGCAGTTTTTTTTTAACTATGACCAACAAATATTCACGTTTAATTTCCAAATTCGCTAAAATCTTGTCCCCATTGCCTGACCGGCTTCAACAGAGGGGTTCAAACAAACTTTAAGGTTAGAAAAAAAGCAATAACAAATATCAGAAACTATCCAAACAGTTGTCAGTTATCGTTATTAGTTTTCATGCAAGCTTTAGCTGGCTCAGACCCGTTACAGCACGTCCCCAAGAGAAACATAAGATATTTCTCCTGCCGTGAAACTATTCTTCACCTAGTATAAGGACAATTCTCATGGTCATAAGGCGTGTACCGACACCCCACGCGAATCAAGATACCGTTACCACGTTTTACAACTCATAATTGGTATTCGCCATCGTGGCCGAGGCACTTTCTTAAGCCCATTTTCATAACCGCCCAATTCCTGGTATCTACCTTGAACAGTTAACTGCGTCGCAAATAAGCGACGCGGAATTACGACAAATTCACCAAAATTCAGGTCTAAATCCGGAGGATCAGCGACTTCCCAATATTCCGCGAGAATTACGCGCTACACGTCAAATCGAAGATCTCGACCTAGTGCTACTGCTCAATTTGGATAGCAAATGACTGAGTATCTTCCCTCGCTTCGTTAAATAGTTGGCTGCAGAGTTTAAAACTGGAGCGGAGGGTTTTCTAGACGTAGACCATCCCAAGGCTATCCCCAAATTCCTTTTCACCCCCCGCATTTTCAGCCTCGTCTGTGGTCCTACCCTAAGACCGCGTTGTCCTCTTCAAATAACATGGCCAACATGAACTAGTGTGAGGAAAGTTCATTGTGAGTTAACAAGAAGCTGCCTAGACTGCGAATAGGCTAGAATTTCAGAGATCTGCACTGCAATAGCGAACCGCAGATTGCAATCTCACCATGTATTTATCTGGAATGTGGCCACGAGGTATTTTAGCTGAAGGCCCGAAGCTTCGCGGTCTTAGCTAGCAACTTTATGGTACTAAACTACATTAATTATTAATGCACACGACTAATGTAGAAATTCGTTCCATTCTCAAGTCCTGCGAGATTAGAATCGGTACGGTGACTTTTGTAGAAGCCACAAAATCAAGTCAGGGTCGGGGCAAGTTCCCGCAACGATGGTTTACGTCCAAACCAGTAGTTAATCCCTTCTGGACGTCCACGTGTATCTGCTTTCTTTTAATCGGAGTATTTATTGATTCATCAAGCACGACTTCTTCACCAAACCCAACAATTTCATGATAATTTCTTCAGCCTTGCTGGAGGGGCTGCATAGTGCTAACGTGCGAAAGAGACGGGAAGCGTAAATTGACAATTCAAATCCTTTTAATGTCGGCCAACCAATCGAATCACTTCCAGGGTTTACTTGGATCGAGCATGACGATACATATTTTCAAATCGCTGGCTTCGCTCATATTTCACTGTAACGCCTGTTTTTCATGCAATGGCGTTTTGGTGATAACCCTGCACAGATAGTCTGGAATCACGAACTAAATTTATCGAAACCACCTCCGATGCAGGCGGTTATTTCTTTGATATCCTGCACGTGTTTCTTCCAACGTGTCCAATCAAAAGCCGAAATTTAAAACACCTTCTGTTCACAATGAAGTCGATTCTATTTTTTTAGGATAAGTATTAGTCTAAGTCCATCAATATCGATTACAAAGAATTAAAAACACTTGGGTCTAGCAGCCAATTCAAAATTTTCAGATACCGTCCTTACCTAAATAACCAAATTTTGTTTTAAATACTTAATATTTTTAATAACTTAAAGGCCATATTAAACAGTTTTGTGACGCCCGGGTGATCAGTGAACATTTTTGATTTCTTCCTAGATTTACTGGAAGGCTTCTTGTTTAGGACTACAAACAGTTGATATTGGTTAGTAAAATCAACCAGATTTTGCTATTTTTAAAAATATGTCAGTTTGAGATTTGCGAATCTGAGAATATTAAATTAAGGCGACACTTTCTCAATTGCTTCACGTTCGAATAAAACTAATAAAATGCAACCCATGTGTATCTAAAAACTGGTTTAGATTTCTAAAAAATAAGCATATTTTTAAATAGCCCTCGTAACTGCCTTCCATGTGATCAATTAGAAGTGATTAAAAATTCAATAATCTCACTGGAAATTACAAATTCTAAATAAACTCCTTCACCAGACAAAAAACATCTAGTTTCACCGAATGAAAATGCAGGACTTTGTCTGATAAAATCATAGATATGCTAAAAGAGGCGCTAATTTGGGATGATCCAATTAAAAAGTCAAATCAAGTCGTTGGAGCAAGGATGCCTAATAAAACAGTGTCAGAAAAACACTTCCTTTTATTCTTCGGCTCTTGATTAAAGCACTCATGATTTGGCTACGCGTGGAACTAACACAGCCCTCAAGTATAATTCATATCGTCTTACCAATTGGGTGGCTTGCACACTGAGGTCCACCCTATAAAATGAACCACACAAGATATTTGGTGGCTTATTGAAGTCAAAATGAGTTCCGCAATTTTCGGCTACTTACTTGCTCTGCTACTTATTTCACACATAACTCCATCCACATGCACAAACAAGGTGATTTTTATCTCCTTTGATGGCTTCAGACATGACTACCTTGAAATGGCTGCAAAGGCTGGCAGAAATATCTCCGCTTTCGACCAAATCCGCCAACAGGGCTTCCAAGCTGAGGTGCAGAATGTCATGCTAACGCTCACCTTCCCCTCTCACTACGCCATGGCAACTGGGCGCAATGTGGAGAACCACGGGCTGGTTGGGAACAAGTTCTATGACGAGGTCCTGAACCTAACCTACAAATACACTGAGCCCAAACGCAACTTGGAAGGAGAGTGGTTTGAATACGGGGGTGCTGAACCCCTCTGGCAGACGAATGAACGACACGGCCACCGAACATGCGTATTTCAGTGGGTGGGAAGCGAGGCCCGTGTTCATGGAAAGATGGCGTTTGCCACATCAGGCGTCTACAAGGATGGCTACTCGCTGAAATGGCGAGTAGACAGGGTCCTAGATTTCCTTTCTCAACCGGAATTCAACTTCTGTATGTTATACTACAACGAACCAGATAAGTCTGGTCACAGATACGGTCCGAATTCAAAGGAGGTGCTGGATGCCATTGAACTCGTCAACGATGGCATGGCCTACCTACTGCAGAGAATCGAGCAAATACCCAGCCTGAAGGGAAAAGTTAACTTCGTAGTATCTGCTGATCATGGAATGACTGAAGTTGACCCAATAAACAGGGTTATTGATGCCTACAGTAAAATTAAAACCTTCAGTTATAAGGGTGACACATCACCTGCCAGCATCGGTTTGTGGCCACAGAAAAACACAACACTTAAAGAACTTTACGACGCCATTTACGGCCTCCCCAACCTCTCAGTGTACTACAAAAATGAAATTCCAGACAGGTATAACTTCAAAAACAACCGCCGAATCGCGCCAGTGTTCGGTATTGCTGACAATGGATATTTGGTCAAAACTAGCACAAACGTCTACAAGGATTTGTGTAAGTTAATTAACCTCTCGTTTTAAAATCTTACTATGGCATTTAAGGGGTCTAATGCCTGTTTCTGCTCACGACAGACGGAATGCACGGATACGACAACGCCGAGCCTGACATGCACCCGTTCCTGGTGGCGTTCGGACCAGATATCAAGAAGATGGATGGAATTCAGAAGTTCTACCAGATTGATCTCTACCCCTACATTTGTGCAATGCTGGGATTGGACAAGCCGAACAAAATCGATGGTCGCATCAGCCGCACTCTGCCGTTCCTTGTGAACAGACCAAGCGACGAATTCATCAGCCAGTTCCAACTCTACGAAATGGGCATCCTTGTTCCGTGACTCTAGACAAAATGCCACCTCTTGACCTCATACTTGTGTATTTCTTTAATATACTACTTGTACAAGTCAACATCTTTCTTTTTTTCTATTTTTGACTTCGTACTTTTGTCTGACAGTAATTTTTTAAGCTCGTTTGACCCGAAGTGCCTAATGATGCGGGGAGATAATTGTCAATTAGCACTTTTAGTAGAATCAACAGAATGGGTGATCCCTACGGCATTTCACAAGTAAGTGAAACACCCGAACACCTCTAATGGGTGTTTTAGTTTGGAATGTCGATCCACTGCTTCATTTGGCACGACGTAAAATAGTGGGGCGTGTCTGGAAAACACCAAACTGTAGAAATATATCTAAAAGTTCTATCGGGGTAATTCACACAAATTAAACCAGTGGGCTAGTATAGGGCTGTGTTTCTTGTCCTACGACTAAAACTTTGCATTCGATCTTCTCCTTTCAGAACGCAAAAGCCGAGTGTTTGGAACAGCAATCAAATTGTCTAGTGTCGATCGGGCGCAATACAACCCATTCGCTGAACTATAATTTGTTGCCGATGCTGAAGATAAATGGGTATTCCTGTGCCAAGACGCATTCAACATGAGGTGATGGAAGACGAGAATGAAGGTTGTCGCATTGTTTGTCTTCTTCAAATATTACTGGTGCGTGTTTAATTTGCACTGACATGATTGATACAAAGAAGGCAAAATTATCTGCAGTGGGTCAAGGCTACGCTCTTGATTACCAAGGTCATGCCACACAGACGTGACAGGGGGATGAGAGCATTCACATCTTGGTAGTTTAACGTCAATTTAACAACCAGTCCAGGACCTTCATCTGCTTGCTAAAATCTATCGCGTCGTCACCATGGATGTCTGGCATGTGACGGCGATCGTCTAGGTAAAATTTGAATAAATTAACCACGAAACAAACCCAAACTACACCGACAAGGCTTCAAGCTTGAAAACTAATTCTAAAAATAGCTATTTTGTTGTAGTGTTAGTGCGTTGTTCCACAATCCAGCATGTCGAACAATAAGAGTGCAGGTTATTACGAGCTGCTCGCTCTAATGTATTCGGGGAAAGTAAACTAGGGTTTGTTATTGTAAAGACAATAACATGTCTTTTTATCTAATTATCTTGCTCACTTTCAATCAAAACCGGGTTAGATATATTTTTCAAACGTTTTTACAACTCCATCACCTATCTTCATTAGGGTTTATTAAAATGATTAGGAATTTTGTGATCTTGTAGAAATTTCCCAAGCCCAAATGCAACTCCGCAGCTTTGTTAAATGCGCTTGTGAGACGAGAGTAACCTCGAGAATTTTGTTTTTTTTTGTAGATTTTTTACAGGCTAGTAGGTCGGGCAACCTCCAAATTATCAAATTAAAATTTGATTGGGGACTTGAGGGAAATACCCCGAATTTGCGTCTTCGAGGATCGTGCCAACTGAGCTGCCAAAACATTGGAGGTTTGTTATTTTGAAAAATCATTTAAACTCTTAGCTGACAAGAATTAGGTTGCTCAATTCTGAGGCGTGCGATTTTTAAAAACGAGATCACGAGAAATACTTTCTTAGGTTTTTCTAAAGTTAAGTAAAATAGGCACCATCTATTTCAGGATTTGGTTATGCGCCAACATGTGGAACAAGCACACATAGCCCTAATGCATTGCACGTATCTCTTTGCCAATCAGGCAGCTGGCACACCGCAGGCTGCCCCATATAAATGTGAACCACACAAAAGAATGCGCATTTTGCTTAAGTCGAAATGGGTCAGGCCGTTGTTAGCTGGCTACTTCTTGTTATTTGTTCACTCATAACTCCAGCCACGTGTACAAATAAGGTGATTTTTGTCTCGCTTGATGGCTTCAGACACGACTATCTCGAGGTGGCTGCAGGAAAAGGCAGAAATATCTCCGCTTTCGACCAGATCCGCAAACAGGGCTTCCAAGCTGAGGTGCAGAATGTCATGCTAACGCTCACATTTCCCTCCCACTACGCCATGGCAACCGGACGCAATGTGGAGAACCACGGACTAGTTGGAAATACGTTTTATGATGAAAAACTAAAGAAGACCTACCAATACACCGACACTAGACGAAATATTGAATCTGAGTGGTTTGAATACGGGGGTTCTGAACCACTCTGGCAGACGAATGAACGCCACGGTCACCGAAGTTGCGTGTTCCAATGGGTTGGAAGCGAGGCCCGTGTTCATGGAAAGATGGCATTTGCCACCTCGGGCGTCTACAACGGTGAATACTCCTTGAGATGGCGAATCGATAGGGTCATAGATTTCCTTTCTAGACCCGAATTCAACTTCTGTATGTTATACTACAACGAACCAGATAGCTCTGGTCATAGATACGGTCCTAATTCAGATGAGGTGCTGAATGCCATTGAACTCGTTAACGATGGCATTGCCTACCTTCTCCAAAGAATCGAACAAACCCCAAGCCTGAGGGGAATGGTCAATGTTGTGATTTCATCTGATCATGGAATGACTCAAGTTGATCCTGTAAACAAGGTCATTGATGTGTACAGCAAAATAAAAGACTTGTCCTACATTGCTGATACCTCTCCAGGCAGCATCGGTTTGTGGCCGAATGGCAGCTCAACTATCGAACAACTCCACGATGCAATCATGAATACTCTTCACCTCTCCGTTTACTACAAGGATGAAATCCCGGAAAGATATCACTTTAAGAACAACCGCAGAATCGCCCCGGTGTTTGGCATTGCTGACAATGGATATATGATCAAATATAGCTCCAAAGATTACTCGGATTTGTGTAAGTGAACTCCCTTACTGCATTTTTCGTTTTACATTACGGTATTCTAATGCCTCCTTCTGTTCACGACAGACGGAATGCACGGATACGACAACGCCGAGCCTGACATGCACCCGTTCCTGGTGGCGTTCGGACCAGATATCAAGAAGATGGATGGAATTCAGAAGTTCTACCAGATTGATCTCTACCCCTACATCTGCGCGATGTTGGGATTGGACAAGCCGAACAGAATCGACGGTCGCATCAGCCGCACTCTGCCTTTCCTCGTGAACAGACCAAGCGACGAATTCATCAGCCAGTTCCAACTCTACGAAATGGGCATCCTTGTTCCGTGACTCTAGACAAATTGCCACCTCTTGACCTCATTCTTGTGTATTTCTTTAATATACATTTTTCTTAAGTTTCGACTCAAAATTTTGCAGGGTTTAAGTGGACAACCTCTTGCGCTGAAATGACTGCACTGATTCAGCGCGGTAAAATATGAAGCATAATTTAAGTTTGTATTGTACAACGAGTTATAAGGCCCGGGCGTTTTAGCAAAACTACAAATTGCAAATCTTGAAAATCAAGCCAGAGGCTTGCGAGTAAGGCTCTGCCTCTTATAAAGTTCCACTTCAGCCTCTTCTTTCCAGAACCCAAATCCTTGGCTTTCAAATCCATCAATTCATTTGCTAAAATGAAGTTAATTTGTGCGATAGAGAAATTGATAGAGAAAACGGGGGGCATTGGAAGTTAGAAATGAGGATTTATGCATCTTAACTTCTCGTAAATTGCTAGAACTGTTTTTCAACCTTACGGACCCGGTAGACATAAGGAGAAACTATTATCTGCCAAGGGTCAAAGTATCACTCACGGTGACAGGAGGCAAAATATCACACCGTGGTGGTCAAACGCCACCGCCTCATGATGAATTTTAGCCAGTGCTTGGAGTTGTATGAAGCCCAAATGTGTTAAAAGCATCTTATTACTCTCGATACTCTACCTCCATGGTCAGTACCTGACATATTTCAAATAAATTGCTTATATAAGATAAAAGAAATTGCCAGAAAGTCATTCACCATCAAAACTAGGGCATGAACTCAATTTGATTCGACAAAATCTGTGCAGCTCATTTGAGACAATGGAAAGGGCTTTCTCATATGCCAAGAGGCGTTAGCCAAAGGGCGTTCTTGTTGGAATTGTACTTTTGGTTATTGGCGGCATAAGGTGTGAAACTGAATTCCTTTCATAATTCATGACGAGAATTTATCCACAAAGAAAACCTCAGAGGCCATGCTGAGGAAACAATCGCATTATTTCGTCTCGGCAAGATTTGAGCCTCGTGTGGTTGCACATCAGTGAGATCTTGTGAATTCGCCACGTATCACCTCGACTGCTTTCAATATGCCAAAAGTTCTTATGGAAAAATCGCCGACGCGTTGAAAGCTTTCACACGCACACACACACACCCTTCAACAACTTGTGAGTCGATGCCAAATGAAGGTGCGTCAGAATCATCCCCCTGACTGGGTCCATGAAAGAACCACACCCTTTCTGTTGTCAGGTGTGTTCGGCATGGCATCGCATTCTCAATGACACTTCAAAGACCCACATTCCTTCTTCTGACAAGCCCCATTTCAATGAGTATTCAAACATAGTTCCTTGCCAAATGGCGACGAAATTCATGCAAAAAAGCCATTGAAATGGATCAACACTGTTGAATTTTGGGTGTGAAATGAGGAAATCTGCAGCACTGATAAATGTGGTGGATAAACGTTAAACCTCTAGATAGATTTGCTTTATTTTAAGTCAGTTGAGTAGATAAACAAGGATGTTTTTAAGCCGATTGCAACTGTAAATTGGTAACAACTGCAATGTGCTGGTTTAAACTGAAATCGCTAGCTACACAGCCTCCTCGAGTACACCGTATGTCTCACAGATTAAAAACAACTAAAACTTTTTGAACTTAGAACTTACAATTTCGACCTGCGGAAGAATTTACCTTAAGGGTTGCTATAATTTCCCCACACGAGGAAATTCCAATATATGCGCAAATAACTGTGTACCCCAATATTGGTGTACTTTTGATTGGATGACTGCAAAAACAAAGGAATTCCACAGCAGTTATTTTGCCTCCGAAAAGATTTATGAGTGCTACCTTCAATGATGTGCCCACAAAATGCCTTTCTTGTACAAACAAACTGATTTATAGAGTGACATTATTGCGCTGAAAATGGGATTCGCGCTGCGATCCATTTCAATTCAACCCTAGGTAGTCGAGTTAATGCGTGGAAGAACTTCCACGAGCAAGAATTTGACCAGGCGCTTTATGAAACAACGGCAAGTAGGCAAACGCTCAACAGACTTCAGAATGCCCTGAACTTCTTCTAATGAACGACATATGTCCTCTCCGAGTTGTCCCTTTTCGCAGTTAGATTTTTTCCGCTTACTTTGATGGCTGTCGTTTTAGTTGGAATGCGAATCAAATAAATAATTACGGCTACAGGCGGACAGAAGTAATTGTTTGCTAAGTTTGAACCCACACCAGAAAATGTCTCTTGTTCACCCACTTTCACGAGGTGTTTTAAATAACTTAAAGATATTTATAAAATCACGAAAATCAACTACTCGATTTAAATTTTTGTCAAATGTTTTTGGATAAAGTGTCTTATCTTACAGGAAGAGATAAAATTTTACTAAAAAACATCGTATTGGAAATGTTTCACTTATTGTCCTTATGAAATGATTTGCTTCGCTTTCATTGAATTAAGTGAAGTGTTTTTGTGGAAAACGGGAGTGGATGTACTAGTGTTGCCAAGCCACACCAAGTGTCTGGTAAATTTTCAAGTGTTAAAATATGTGAAGCCAACTCATCGGTACTTTCAGAGTTTTTTAAGTCCGTTTAGTCCGTCACAAAATTTACGCCAACTCAGAGTCATCGTGATTTAAAACTTTCGCAAACAGCCGTTTTATTCGTGGACTTTGCAGTCAGTTTTGCCTTACTTCAAACCATTTTTTGGCTAATACCTGAACATGTATTTAACGGGTATTATTCATGGTTTTCATCTCAAATATGCAGCGCCATTTTGACACGAACAAAATTTAATAAAAAGAAATCCCTGTAAATCTTGATGCCAATACCGCCGAAAATTCGCAGTTTACATCGTGTGCTAGAAAAAGTCTCCATTCATGACCCTGACGAAGCAAGAGGATTCGCTGAAGGACATGCTCCTCTTTTGTACGTTGGAACGAAAAACATCCCCATGTATTAGCCATTATTTAAGAAGTAATATCAGTGGTTAACATCCACGGCCGAATCGGCCACATTCTGCCCTTCCTTGTGGACAGACAAAGCGACGAATTCCTCAACCAATTCCGACCCTACGAAATGGGCATTTTTGCTCCATGACAAAAGACAAATTGAATTTAATGGCTAAAATTATTTCAGAGCAGAATTATGCAGCTGGATGACAGACGATGATGCTTTTGTCTGGCGATTTACGTCCGGTTGGGGACGAAATACCAATATCGACTTCAAATTGGGCGCTAAGATATGTTGTTTTGCATTTAAACACACCTCTAAATGTCCGATTACTACTTTTCCCAAATCAAAATAGGCCGCCTGACCAATCGACTCTCCTCCTTACCTGGTGAAAACCCTACTTTAGTCACCTTTTTTTCATGAAAAATTGAACTGAATTTGGTGTAGCTGTTTGTGACAATCGTTTTCATAGATTGGATGATGATAGCATCTCAAGGATCACACCCTTTACCACAGATAGAGGCACTAGTGAACTGTGAGTTTTGAGACACATTTCAAACCTATCTTATGGTTGTTCAAATGCTGTTGAATACGCACAGATGCAATTATGGTGATATTTCGGTGAAACATGGTCACCTCGCTATGCTTAGAATAACTGTCCGGCCACAGAAGTACAGCATTAAAACAAATATTTATAATTGAAATTGCATTTTAGGAAAAATACAATTGCAGTGAAAGACTAAGAAAAGTGACGGAGTGAAAGCCATCATTGCTGAAGTATTTGCACAATCACACTGAGGAAGATCAAAATTAAGGCATTAGCTAAAATGAAAAAAAGGAGCGTTAGTAAGCCGCACATTTACAAGTGATGAAAAAAATTTAAAAAATAATAATAGTAATAATTACCAGATAGCGTCATCGACCCATCTGGCAGCGATCTTGCGCCTGTCGCGTATGCATTGAAGGCTTCGATAACATCAATTGAAGGCAAATTCTTGATTACTGGAATTACACGGTACACGTTGCTGTCAACTACATTTGGTCGATATATCTTTAGGAGAAGACAGACGAGGGCGTAGACGTCCACTTGGTGGAACTCTTCAATGGGACCAATCTGCTTGATTCCAGGTCCCATTGCCACGAGGAATGGATGCATGTCTGGCTCGGAATTGTTATAACCATGCATACCATCTGCAAAAATAGATGCACAATTAAAAAAAGTGGTTTTTGATGAAAAAGAAAATATTCCAAAAACATACTAAGACTGCTTTTGTATGGATCGTTGGGATCCGATTGAACCATCCAACCAAGGTCTGGAATGAGAACAATTGGCGCAATGCGACTGTTGTTCTTGAAGTGATACTCTTCCGGTATCTCCTCCTTCTTGTACACTTTACAGTTTTGCAAGGTCTTTAGTTTGTTATAAATTGCATCGATGGCCGCTTCTACAAAAGAAATTAAAAATTACAAATAAGTCACGTAATTTACAACCAGTAGGGGAAAGATCTTAACTTACGTCCTTCTGCCTTAGGCCACACACCAAGAGAAGCTGGTGAGCCATCTACTCCAAATATATATTCATCTGCGGAGAGGACTTCAGAAGCGTTGACAACTTTTTTGTAATTTACAGTTGTCATGCCATGATCACTTGTAACAATAATATTTGGGGGTTCATCCAGCTCTTTGGATTGTTCAATTCTTTGCAGTAAGTAAGCAATTCCGTCATTAACTTCTTCAATTGCGTCAAGAACTTGCGTAGAATCAGGGCCATATTTGTGGCCAGCATTGTCCGGTTGGTTAAAATACAGCATACAAAAGTTGATGTCCGGTTTAGTAATCCAGTCCATTATTCTGTCCACGCGGAATCTCAATGACGGTATAGAACTGTAGAGCCCGAAATCTGTGTACATCATTTCCCCATTCATGCGAGAATTGCTCCCAGGCCAATAGAATACACAGCTTTTGCCTCCATTTCTCTGGTTTGTTAGCCAAAGTGGTTCGTTTCCATTCATGGTAAACCACTTCGGTTCAAGGTTCTTTGTATCGTTCGTGTACACATAGTTGTCTTTCAAGTCATTATCCCAGAAGGTATTGCCAACAAGTCCATGGTTTTCTACATAACGACCAGTTGCCAAAGAAAAATGTGACGGGAAGGTGAGAGAAAGCATGACACTTTGAACTTTCATTGCTCTAAATCCGGCGTTGGTGATCTGTTGGAAAGCGGAAACATTCCTCTTAGCTGCTAATGCCTTCTCAATGTAGTCATGTCGGAAACCATCTAATGAAACTAGTATAACTTTTTGACCGAAGCAGGAACTAAATAGCAAAAAAAGGCATGCGAGGACCAGCCGCATTTTCGTTCAGACTAAATCAAACATGTGATTTCAATGCTTTTAAATCAAGAAGCTCCCCTCTAGCGTACTGGCAGAAGGTTTAAACAAAACATGAGGTCACCAAGTTAATGAAATAATCGATATTAGCCTTATAGTTTAGTGTCTTTTTTATTATATTTTCATGTTAACCTTAAATTTTAAACATTAAAATATAAAAACCGTTCACAATTTTGTGTTTACATTCACAATTAGTGGATGAAGTTGTCTTGCCATTGTAGTAATTGTGATTTAGAATAACAAAATTTTGCACTTTTATTGCCTCTGGATAATATAAGGTAAGCTTATTATTTAATAAAATGAATTAATGAAAAGTCCAAACAACATAGAAGCTTAATTAAATTAATTGGAATAAACCTTTTAAATTCTGATGCAAACGAGTTTGCGCAAGCAAATAAGCAACGCATTAATAGCCTATAATTAATCTCAATCACAGGTTTCTCGCATTAATAAAATTTTGTCGAAACAACTTAATAAAGAATGAAAAATAAGAATGCTTGTAAGTAAGTGGCAATTTAATTTCAGATAATGATCAAATTGATTTTAACCAGTTAGTAAATATATTCAGTTTTTTACAACATTATTGCTTATTAGCCAAAAGAGTAATTCTTTTAAATTCGTATCCCGAGTTCTTTGTTACAATAATATTTAGAACAACTCATAACCAGAAATATTAACTTACACTGCTTTACTATTTTTGAATAAGTTATATGATTATCAAAAATGCTGCAACATAAAGTATACTCTCAACAGTTTGTGAATACATCAGCATAAAGGTACTGCTGCCTGCTATTTTAATTTGATCAAGATCTGACAACTTAGATTAAAAACCTACTCTAAATACCTACATCGATTAATAGTTGCTAATGTCTCTTCATCAAAAAATAAATCCGGAGACGAACAAATGCAGTTATGAATTATTTAGTCAAAATATTACAAATACCCAAGAAAAAACAAAAAAATTGCAGTTAAGTTACCTGTTTGCAAATAATGATATTTAAAAGAAAATAAGATGCGAAAGAAAATACACAATCAGCATGCGTGAAACGCAACGTACATGCCCATTTGCATAGATTAGATTATTTCTGCTAAATATAAATAACCAAGCTACATTTTTCTTTTTTTGTACTGAAGCAAAGAGATCAGGAAATCGGTAATTCTGTTTCCTTACTTAAAGTTATAGCTTAAATAAATATAAGAAATCTTTACAGTTCTGCTTCTGACACCAGACCGTTTTCTAATTTTAACTGGGTTAAAGGAATCAAGGAAAGCATATCCCAGCAAGTTTGCCTAAGATTTATTTAACATACCTACCCAAGCCCAAGTACAAAAAAGAGAGGTACAAAAGAGAATGCTTAATGGAATAACATCAAGCGTGATATGTCCTTCAGCTGGCTTCCATCCGAGTCCTCTATGGGATTCGCCATCCTCGATTTACATTGATCCTCATGTGTGTCTGGTTAACTGCATATCTTTCTTGTAGGCCATTTAAATCCAAAGAAATTGAAGCTTGGCTGAGACCGACGAGGACCAAAATGTCTGCTTCCTTGTGTGTCGATACTGTGGAATACCCGAGCCACAGAATGAATTAGACTGATGCAACAGAACAGGCTTTATTGACCAGTCACAAGCCAGAACCACGTGTCAGGCGCCTTCCATCCGAGTCCGTCACGCTGGCCACGCCGTTCATTATATACTGCACGTCATTCGTGTCCTTCTCTGGTTGGCTGCTTATCTTCCTCGCATGCCATTAGAACGCAGAGAGACACATCGTGATAATAGTGTATTCATTTTGATCAATTTTTTCTACTCAGTTGCTCGAGTAAATTTCACATTTCAATCCACACTTGCCAATGAATATCAATCTCTTCGACACGTAATTAAAAATTACGTGATCACAAATCACCTATTTTTGGTAACTGACACCTCATGCCAGTAAAATCAACTCAACCCTATCTTTTTCGTTCAATAAGAACTTCCCTCTAGAGGATAGTTGTCCAAATCAACTGCCACTGTAGCTACTTTAAAGAATGGTTTGAATGAGGTGGTTTACAGCAAGTCATTGGCTCCAGCTCAGGTAGAAACGGCGTCGATATGTCAAAGTGAACCTTGGACTCCTGGCCTTGGCAATCTTTCAAATTTTGTCTTTCCTCGACCCTTACACGGGTCCTGAGGCCTTCTATATTTTCTCCCGGCTTTAGTCAAAATAAATCGCCCTCAATGGCTGGAATTCAATGTGTCAATTTATCGTGATTGTCGGCCTGACGTCAATGAGCTTGGACAGGTTGAGATCTGGCCGACTTACTGGAGCGACGAAGTTGACGTCGTAAATCTACCCCTTACTGGGATGAGCATAGATACACATAGTTTGCCTAGGCGGCCGACAAGGGCAACTGAGGCCGAGAGTTATTACTACTGAGGATCAGGCGTGTTGACGAGTACACTCAAGGTGAATATGACTTCGGTGAATGGCTAAAAGGTCAATTATGTCAAGCAGCAATGCACTTCCCGAATAGTTACCTCAGTCAGTTCAATTTAGGCATGGTACTCTGTGATAGCAGCAACCCAGCCATGCTTAAATGGGGTCAAGCGTTCGCCACCTTGGCAGAGCAGTTGATAACAACGAGGATCACGCCGAACTACTTCGCTCGAAAGCCCCGTGGCCATAAATTAAAGTGAGACCTTGGACGCGATGGGGATTTCACTTTTCCATTGCCATTACACTCTGCCCAGCCGCCTTATAACCAATGCAGTTTCTCCGGAGGCAATCCAGTCTCTGTGTTCCGATTCACGTGAAGTGAATCGTGTCGATTAACGTCCAATAACCCGGTCGTCTCAGCCTCACACATGCGTTCCTCTTTGCATGGCGTGCCCCTCAGCAACGCGGGACAGCCTACTCATCCACTCCACCGCATGTGCCACCACCACCACCACCCGCTTTATCCACGTGACCATTCAGGCGTCTGTATTCTTACTAGTCCACTCAACTGCATCATGCACTAACTCTAATGCTTGCAAACCACAGCGCAACTTCGTGGAACTATCTACTGAAAGGTCGTATCTGCCATCTTTGGTTATACTTCTTCCTTGGGTACTTCACGTTGTATTGGCCTGCGACACATGGAAAGCTAGTGGTAAGCTCAAGAACACGTGCATCGTGCCTATTCGCTCTCGTTCATCAGGTTGCACCATTCTCCGACTCAAATCAGCATGTCATACATGTTGACACCTTGTTGTGGGGTCCCAGCATGTGGTCTTGAACCACGTCGGGGCCACGGAATTAACCCTGGCCCGATTACGTTTCCCCGACAGCCGCGATGAGGAAAAAGACCGGAGAGGACGTGGACACTACCGTTTACTTCAGAGCTCAACCTCGTTGGTGCCGTTCTGTCGTGTGTATTTATGGCTCGGAGGTGTGAGTCATGCATGCGCTAACATCGAGACCTAGGTGTGGGGATACTCCAAGATAAATATCCGCGTGAATGAGGGGTGATTTGAAGATCCGCGCAGCTGGTGACATGCTGCGAAAAGGGGGACCCTGTGTCAAAGGCTGGAGCGACCGGATTAAGGGGTGTGAATAAACACGATTCACAGCAATCTCATCTCACATCGGATTAGAGCCGATTTTAATCCCCGATTATCGCTACCCGTGGTAAAATTCACCTAAGTCTCGGTGTTAGCACACCTATAACACCACTCTGCTTCAAAAATCTAACCTATAGATACACACGCACAAACGCCACACAGAATTCACCGACAGCAACGTGATTGAACTTTCGGCGTTTGTGTCTCAGCCATGGCGGTCTTCTTCACCTTCGCGGGCATCAGAAGTAACTTGGTCGGGCTAAATTTAACGCGGTGGCCCCTGCGTGATTTGGGATCACATTACAGGGCTCACAAAAAGCATAGATTTAAACAGCAATTTGGGTATTAGGCATCAGTTAGGCAAAATAGAATTCATGCATTCCTGTTCTTCTGTGTGCTTCTTGAATATCAACTGGACAGAACGGGACGCTCTGTTCCCCCATACAAACTGCCATGTTTTCCATTGGTTCATTGTACTAAATTCGACCGATCGATTTATTGATTTAATCAACAGTCATTTTGAATAATAGCAATGTTTTCATAGAATAATTGAAGTTGGATAGGTCAGTACACGAATAACCGACACTAGGAAATACACTCGAAGTCTTTAGTTACTTAGTCGAAATGCCTAGCTTATTAATCTTTCACGCAGTGGATTTGACTTCTGGACGTCTAAATCAATTGGACAAAGTGGGTAATTTGAAGTACAGATGTGGCTAAGGAACCCTCCTCGATATTACAGCACTGTATTCATTTCTACACCATGAGTCAATCAAATTTATTCTAATGTTCGGTGGCGTGGAGACTTCCAGAGCCTCTGTAACCAGAATTTCTGCCTTGACAACTGCATGGGGAGTGGTGAATGTCGTGCCACAGGGGCGGTCTGATTTGCATAACTACCGGAAGCGGTTCGTGCATCCCTCCAGTGAGGATGGCACTAATTTATATTGCTGAGAGTAATTCAGATTGGAATGCATACCCGCCGTGTTCTGGCCACTTAGATTACACCTCCGTCACTAGGGCTTCAGTGAATCGTGTTGAATCACGTCCACTAGCCCAGTCATCTCATTCTCCGACACACCGCTCTCCTATTTACGACGTGCCTGTCAGCCATGTGAGACCGTGTGCTTATTCACCCCTGTGCATGCACCACCAACACTGCACGCTGAGACATTTGCACTTTTACAAGTCCACGCGGATTGTTTTAATCGGCAGCCCCTTTAGTCAGATGCAACTTTTGGCCGCAAAAAACGAGACCAAATAAGACAACTCCATCTAATTTGGCTTGGTGTTTGTTAGTGCTGATTGTGCACGACATTATGCCCACATTACTTTCAAGTTCATCACCATCGGACATTCACCCGACTTTGTCCACGACT